AAGAAGAAGAAGAAGAAGAAGAAGAAGAAGAAGAAGAAGAAGAAGAAAAATAATAATAATTAGATCTGTCTGGCAATATCCAACAGACTGTTTTCCTGTCTACAATATCTCCCCTCCACCCACACTTTCAAGACAGGGAAAACGTTTGTTCTCTTTGAGTCATCTGGCACTCCAAAATGATTTCTCAAACATAATTCATAAAAGTTCAGCCAGATCATCATCTAGTTTCAGTACCCTGAGATTATGAGAACCATTTTGCTGCAGTCATTTTAAAGCATTGGTCCTGAAACTGGGAGACCATGGATTGTAGTCCCACCTTAGCTACCAGCTGCCTGTTTGAATCAGCTGCTCTCTCAAACCTACAAAGAGCTGCATTTCTGAATGAGAGAAGTGGCATGTACATTTAATTAATAAAATAAAACAGAAGGCAAGAGCAAACCACTTCTAAAACTTAGTCAAAAAGAAAAAATGAAGCAATGTGTCTGCGCATTGGTTAGAAGTCAAGATTGACTTGGAAGTCTTGATAAAGTGCACAATTTCGTGTAAATGTATTTTCTCTGACTGGTGTAAGGTTCAATCTTTCCCTGTCATGCCAAGATTTTGACTCTTGAATAAGATTTCCATGAGACAGAAGGAAGATGCTAAAGGGAAACTTTTTAAAATGGTGTTTATGATTTATTTATTTATTACATTGGTTTGCTGTCCATCTCGCCACAAGATGATTCTGGGCAGCTTAAAAGATTGAAAACAGTAAATATATGGATTTATATATTCACACACACACACACACTCACACACACACACAAACACACACATACTATATGATGCATTAAAATGTACGACACGCAGAATACAGTGATTGACATAGAAATAACATATTGAAATATTGAATAACCAAATAATGAAGGCTTATAAGCTGAATAAGTAAATAATGAAAGATTATAATTTAACATAAATGTTTGTATTATTATCAGAATTATACGTATAAGCTTGTTAAATCTAATAAATATGATTAATAATATTTTATTTGTATTAAAAGGTATGACATTTAGAATAGGATGATTGGCATAAAAATAACACATTGAAATATTGAATAACTAAATAATGAAAGATTATAATTTAACATAAATATGTGTATTATTTATTAAAATTATACAAGCTTGTTAAATGAAATAAATATGATTAATACTACTTTATTTGTATCAAAATATATGACACTCAGGTGCCACACTGCTCACACATTGATATGTTTGCAAAAAATAAAAACAAAAAACTTGAAAAAAATAAAAAAAATACAAATAGAAATTATGTTCAAAGATGGGGAGTGGGAGCAGATGCTCAGGGGAGAAGGTGAGGTGTATTACTGTTGGCCCGTCAATCGCTTCCGGTATGATATTTTTTCATTGGGACTCCAGGCTAATTGGCAGAGCCAGGTCTTCAAGCTCTTGCAGAAGATGGAGGGACTCAATCTCACCTATAAGGAGGTAAAAGGTTCCAAAGGGCATGAGTGATGGCAGAGAAGGCGTTTCTCCTGGACCTCACCAGCTGGTATTCCCTGACTGACAGAGTCTGTGACACACCTCCTCTCTTGGCATTGGCGAAAAGGACCTGTTCCATTGGGATGAAATGGTTCATCAAGTTAACCTGAACTCATTTCATCCAGGGCTTTAAAGGTAATATCCAACACCGTGAATTGCAAAGAACCATTACAGTATTATTTTATTTGATCGTTACCCTATGAATATTAGGGTTAAGAAAGTGAAGAATCTTATTTTGGATAACATTATGTTCTGAAATATGTTGGACATGAAAATCACTTCTTTGAAGTAAATGAATTTTAATGACTTCATCTTAATAACTTTTTGTGATTCCTTGGGGGGGTTTTGTGTATGTAAATCTAGTTCTCTAGGGAACAAGGCAAATTCACTATTTAAGGCGATGTTTTTGCATAATGTGTTGAAACCTGCCTTCCTTCCTTCTTTTGGCACCTCGTTGTGGGAATGTTTTAGTTTTTCCACTAGTAATGCAGTTGGTGCTTTTGAACGGTATTTCTGCAAGATGGCACAGTTGAGCTTATTTTCCCCTCTTCTGTTTTCTCTAGAGTGGTTCATTTTTTTTTTTTTACTGAAAAAAGTTGTTGATATTTAGCTGAAACATGGGAAGCCAGGGAGACTGTAGACCATTGAAGTGAAAAAGGTAGGACATTCACAAGTAAAGGAAACGGAAGAGCTACATATTCCATCTATGAGAATTTTTAGAAATGGGCAATTCATGCAGTTTTCCCTCCATCCAGTTATTGTCAATCCTGAAGCCAACCTGGCTGAGGTCACCTTTGAGGCTTCAGGGTTGCCACAAGACAGAAGAAGAGATTGGGGGGGGGGGGAACTAGATAGCTGGGATTTGTAATTAAAAAAATAAAATCCTGTGGGAACCAAGGACATTCCAACAGGTGCTAGGGAGAGGAGGAATGGAATAACCAAGCAACCAGCCAGCACCTCTATTGGACAATGTGACTGATGACTTGAGGCAAGGGGAAACTTTCATTTTTTTTAATTAGGTGAAAACTTTCAGAGTTGTTTTTCACCAGTTGTGCCAATATGATGTATCCAATAAATTGTTATTTGAGGAAACTTACCTGCTTCTGAGCTCTGCTTTCTATGGGTGCATTACTTGGAACTCCGACAATTATGTGACAATAGAAACAAGGAAATGATGATGATGATGATGATAACGACAATGTCAATTTCAATTTATATGCCACCTGATTCTCAGTGACTCTGGGATGATGGTGATTTTGTCATAGTACTCAACCTATAAGTAAAGCTTTGTGAGAGTAGTTTACCTGACAAGGACATTCTCTCAACAGCTTCAGAACTGATAGAAGGGAATATTTGTAGCTCAGAGTTGCACAATGAGGTCCTTGGCGCTCTCTGATGTTGTTGGTTTTTTTGAAGACATTTTCAGTGCATTCATGGTGTTACCCAGTATGGTAAGGAAATGTCTGCAAGAAAACAACCAAGCTCAGAGAGCACAAGGACCCCACAGCTTTAGGTCTTTATTTTCCATTAGCTGTTCTACAGCAAATGTCTATACTTTACTCAGAATTAGGAAAGTTTATTCACATCTCAAGGGTGATCTACATAAAGCACATTACAACAGACCAAACAAGTGTTAATTAAGGCATTGTAGGAGATGAGCAGGCTGAACCCGAGGGAGGGGTCAAATGCTTCATCAGCCTCAAGTCCCTTAATGCCCACAAGAGATCTAAGTCCAGCACACCTTGAATTCCATTGACTCTTATCTACCTCCAATTTGCTTTGACTGGTAATAGATCAGATTCTTGTAGAGAGCTTAAGCTTGAAGTAAACCTATATATTCATTTGAACTGCCTGGATTTCCTGATTTCCTGCCTTTGACAGGCGTGAGTTATTTCTGCATTAATAATTAGCAACTGGTGTGCAATTTGGGGGCCTCCTGGATTTGAAGCTACTGCTTAAGGAGCAGGGGGCAAGTGCAACTAGGGGAACCTTTGTTTTCTTAAGCAATTGCACCTTTCATGGATTGGGAGGACTCAGAGCCACTCATGCCTTGGTTACTTCTGTTTGGATTACTGCAACCCACTATACAGGAGGTTGCCCTTGAAGACTATCCCAAAGTTTCAACTGGTCCAGAATGCAGTGTAACATGCAATATTGGGTGTCCCCAGATTTTTATAAATTGCATCCTT